CCCCCTACATTCTCGCGCAATAATGTGTATACCAGTACCAGTGGTCCACTATGTCTTCAATCTTCACTGTAAATCTGCCACATAACATGATATACTAAGATACAGATCTAGATCTAGATTCTATATCTAGATCTATAGAAAAGACGATTGAGTAAGAGTCAGAACACAGACAATAAGACATCGCAGTAAAAGTTACAAAACTCATCAGTGATCAGTATTATTGGGCACTGGCCTCTCTTTTCCGACCTACCAAAGGCAAAAGTAAGGCGTGTCCTGGGCTCTATCAATGACTGTCACTTGGACCTGAGTCTACTCTTCTACTACACAAAAGGCCTACTATAGGCTGAAAAATGAAATGTTCGAACCTGAGCACTGTATATCCAATACACCACACTACAAAACACTAGAGCAAAGCCAACAGACACTTGCCACAGCAAGATGAGTATGAGAGAGTTGTTTATAATTATCACGTGACCAAACCACCAGTTTGATGACGTAGATTATTCTATTTTTAGGATTTCGGCTCTTTTCTGGGCCTCGGCAAGGGCAAGCCTACTCTTCCAGTCTTCTTTCGATTTTCCAGAACGTCACACACCTGACATCAAGTATCGAGACGTCAGACATAGATTCTCTAGATCTAGGCCTAGATCTAGATCTACATCTACTACTAGTAGCTTTAGGCTTTAGTTAGTCACATATCTAATAATAGCCAACAAGAGGCAAACCGAACTTTGTCCACTGTTCACTCTTATTGCCATCCTTGCGTCTTGTATTCTTTCAGATCCTGATTCTATTATTATATAATTATAATACATTGTATAACAATGTACACGGACTCATTGATAATGAAAGGCCTCCTATACTCGAATGATGCTGTGGGAAAAACCCTTCGCCATCGATATCTTTCCTTCTTAGTAGTTCATTAATTAGGCCTGAGCTACTTTGCTTAGCCTAAGCCATCGTACGGCAAGCTTTTTGTATAGGCCTACCGCGATTTATAATGACATTATTTTGTGACAAGTTCGTCACTTTGGTCGCCGAATCACTTAATTTTCAAATTTGAACAAATAAACTGTGGTTCAGGATCATTTAAAGGGTTCACAGTAACATTAAGGAGTCTGGAGTACCGGTATGTAGTTTAACTCTCAGTTGTTCAGTAGGCCTAGTTTTGTTTAAATCGAATCAGAGAGTTACTGTACTGTAAACCCTTTCTTATCTAATCTTGGGAAAACCCTATAGCCTACCTGTCAATGTTTCTTCACCCGGAAGATCAATTTCCCCTTTCAGATGAGTTGAAAACTTATTGAGAGTGGGATACATGTATAAGTACATATGTATAATATACAGAGAGCTATAATTAAGTTGTCTACCCTTTGACTGAATGGGAGCTCGCATGCAGGGTATTATTGAGCACTTAAGGTAGCCCATCTACTCCAAGGTATCGAATAAAAAAAA